CACTACAACATGTAAAAATATAATATAAGCTCTGGCGGACTTGGTTCTATGGTAGGTCTTAAAGGGTTAACACACATCTGAATCCTCAAGACCAAAGTGCACAAACTTTGAGGTGCTTTCACTTGCTGAAACAACAGCTAATCAAGCTGTTACTTCAAATTTTAATTCCTATAGAAGCTGTAAGGGTGATGGTAATGGCACAGCAAAATATGATGTGTTGTGGTTCATCAGAAGTTTATCTAAATCGTTTAAAGACCTGCTAAGAACCAGATTATTTTTTTATTATGTCATGATGCATAAACATTACAGCTGAAACTTTCACTGCACTCTTTATACTACAACAGCAGCCACCACCGCTCATGGTCTTTCACGTGAAGGTAAATTAAACACAAACTGCTCAACTGAACTGTGAACATAATGGAACAAAAACACCACAACTCAGTAAGACAGGGTAAGCACGAGAATAAATGCATGTTAACGTCTATAATTTGCTACTGCAAAACCACAATTTCTCTGATATGCCAGATCTGAGTGCTACAGTGGCTAGTGCAATCTATAGTATGGACGTTTAATTAAATGGATTAGGTTAAATAGATTAACTTGTACTTAATCTGTTTAATTGCTATGAGCATTTACAGTACAAAGAGTCTGGAAAATGTATAATGGTGTCCACAAAAATAAGATCTAAGGTGTGGATAACAGCAGTTTTCCTTTGGTTTAAAGTTTTTCCTGCATTGACGCAAGCTGGGAAGAATTGAACGTTACATATAATAGTATGTTTGAAGGGAGTAATTTAACACCTCGTTGCTGTCTTTTCTGTTCTAAACTAAACCCTATGGAGAGAGAAAAGAATAGAGCAGGAAAATATTCAGTGGAGAAAAATCTATTTTGAAAATATCTTATTTTTGTACATGATTACATGAAGACTCATTATCCAAAGAGCATGGTACCCTGCAGTCTTGTACATTAGAAACTAAAAAGCTGTCCAGCCTCCATTTCTGTTATGCTGTTATTTTACGGGTAGTTGCCTGTTTTGGCCCAATTAGGTGCTCTGGCTCAGTTACACAGCAGACGTGTAGCTTACAAAAAGAAGCTTTCAATAGCAAATTGATCCACTAAGGTTTGTCATGTATGTGTCAGACCCATCTGAACCCATTTTGCACAACAGGTCCGAGACAAAGGCTTAATTTGTCTTTGAGTTAAGAACACAGAAACATTTTTTGCTCCAAATATTTCTTGTACTTCCAGGTAGATAATGATGTTTTTGGACAGTCTGTGGGAGTCATTTGGGCTGCTACTCATGGCCCAAAGTGATGGTTAGAGATAAACAATTGTTATTATATTTCCAAGAAACTCCTTCACACCTGTGTACTTTTCCTCCAAATACCTGTGACTAAACTACTGTGATATGGTCACCTGCACTCAATCAAGAATTGTAGGGTGTTCAGGCCAATTGCCCTTGTGTCAGTGTTATCAAAAATTGTGTCAGCAGAAAGGATCCAGCAGGCTATGAAAAACTAAACTGTTGCCTGCAAACCTTAAAAATATGACGCTTGACATGGCACCAGCTGGAGATTGAGGGTTTTGGAATCGAGACCTCTGTGAAGAATGCGGACCTAGTAAAGGAACCGAGGCTCATTTACAATATTGCAGCGCTTATATCATGCAAGAAGCAGTAGCAAACGAGCCCACAACTTCACAACAAATGTTTAATGGGAGCATTAACACTCGCACGGGTGGCTTCTGTCGTTGCTGCCGGAGTACATCACTGTAGACCAATTCCATTTCTACCAAAGCTGAATACAAATGGCATGCTTATGGGGTTGTTTGAAGAATGAAGGTATTTCAGATGATTTAGAGGACTTGGAAAACACCTTGCATAGCCTTATATTTCAAATGTGCTATGGAAGGTATCTTATTTTGGCATGCAAAATGTGTCTTAAATGCCTCCCTTTAGCACCATTTATTCATTTATTTGTTGTAGGCCCAGTCTATAATAGTACAAATCCTGTGTTTGTGCTTTTATCGGTGTTGTGTGATTTCAGACCTTGTTACGTTCCAATGGCGTTTTTGCCGTTTGTCCAGCACGCCTCACCGAGCCAGCAATCTTATGTGACGTAGCTCCCATTATCGCCTTTGTTACCCACATTTTGTGAATTTCAATCGATGCAATGGTTGGTTCAAGCGAATGGCTACGGCTTTAGCAGTCTGTTTCTCTTAAGCGTGCATCTCTACAATTCTTCCAGCCCATTTTCTATGCATATAACTTCCCCTCTGACTTCATAAAAACAGTCATCAAAGACCCCTTGCGAGCCATTTGCGGTTGCTGTGATTGCCACACAGCTAGGCCAGAGGAATTCATTTCGCTGTTCCTTTTTTGCATGCTGTCATTTGGATTTACTTTCATTCTTTACTTTTTCCTGTAGTCCTGTGCCACATCAGGAAACCGCAGACAAAGGCGGCTTGCATCTTTCTTGATGGTGCCACATACGGACTGCTGAAGCTGTTAATACACACTAGAATGGCCTCCCCACAGGAGTCTGTGTTTTCAGTCATATTTCTATTGTTGAAATTGAACACATCTTTTCATGTTTGCTACGGAGCATATCGGGCTTTTTCCTGTCGTCTGATGCATATCCATATCAGCTCTCCCAGCAGCAATGACTGAATATTTAATCATGAAATATGCTGTAATTACGTGGTACCCACACCTTGAAA